ATTTTTACTCTTTAAATTATAAAATGTCAAGCTCTCGTGGTGGTCGTGGTTCGAATTTCGGACAGAAACGTAGAAATATCGGCACCGGCCCATCTTCGTCGAGACCTCCATTGCCGGAATTTGCGAGTCCATCGATACATGTGGATATTCCCGGTGTCGCCGATGACATTGATGAGGCGACGATCGAGCGCATGTTTGGCTCAATTCAGCCTGAGCAACAAGAGCAACAGTAGCCGTATCACGACCATTTCGATGATATATTTGGAGAGTCCCTGCCGGAGGTTCAGCAACCGACGCAACAGCAACAGCCTGACCCGGAGGTCCCGGACCCGGGCCACCCAGCCTCTGCCTTCGCCCGTGCCAGATCGGCATCTGCCATATTCAAACAACATTACACGAAGGTGGCCAATCCGACAAGAGGTGAGAATCACTTTTTAGCTGTTTGCAACTACTGGCCGGCGAACGACAAGAAGCAATACCATTTCAAAAAAGGCGATGGGTACGGATCGTTGAAACGACACTTAGAGAGGGTTCATCCGACAAAATTGGGAATTGACAGAGCACAGACGCAACTCCCAAGTAGTAGCGCTGCATCAGCCACGATTGGTACAGGTACGCCAACTTTATTTCAGTACTCACATGAAAATCATCGACGACATTTAGCTGAATTTGTTTCTGTTTCATCTCTTCCGTTTAGCTTTGGTGATAGTGATTTATATGAACATTTTGCTCAAATGGCTTTGAATCCGGCTGCCCACCGGGTTCCACGTACTACTCTTACTCGCGATATTCGAAAAATAGTGGCGGAAAAAAAAGTAATTTTGCAAGAAACCTTTAAATCTTTAAATCATAGAGTATCCATTTGTGCTGATATCTGGTCTGATCATTGGCAAAATAATTTCTATTTGGGAATTACTTGTCATTGGATAGATGAAAATTGGAGTTTACAAAAACGTTTAATTGCTTATGTTGCATTTCATGAACGACACACTGCTTCTAATATTGCTCGTTTAATTTCAAAAATTTTGGATAAATATCAAATAGGTAAAAAAGTGTTTTCCATTTCGTTTGATAATGCTATTGCAAATATTGCATCTATACGTGAACTTACCGATATTTGCACTCCAATTTGCGGCGGAAGATTTTTTCATATTCGTTGTATATGTCATATCTTAAATCTCTGTGTACAAGCTGGTTATCATGCTTTTAAAGATTCGGTCACACCAATTAGGGACGCTATTAATTATTTACATAAACGTCCCCATGAAATGAAAGCATGGGGACGTTTTTGTAAAGATCAAGGGGTGAAACCTAAAAAATTTCAACCCGACGTTCCTAACCGGTGGAACTCAACATTTAAAATGTTGAGTGACACGGTTCCGTTTATGACACAATTGCAGAATTTTTTTAACCATTCAAACCGTAAGGATTGTGATGTCCGAGTGTCAACAAGAGATTGGGAGAACTGTAATGCACTTATTCAATTTTTAGAAACATTTCAAAATGCCACTAACATGCTTTCTGGTGTTTATTATCCTATTGCTCAGCTTGTGTTAGGTCAAGCTATAGCCATAATGTGGGCTTTCAAGGATCTTTACACCTTAAATTTTAATAAATATGGCTATTTAGTTGAGGAAATGTTAAAGAAATGGTTGAAATATTAGTATTTCATTCCTGATACACATTTAGTTGCATGTTTGTTAGATCCTTCGGTACGTGAAGCTCGCTTGGTAGAGCAGCTTAACATGTATTAAAATTATATGTATGAACTCCCAATCCCGATTGATGTCCCAACATACAGTCAAAAACCTAACGTACTGCTGCTCGTCGAGCAAGCAAAAAATTTGTTGTATGACATGTTTAAGGAAACAGCGATTGCACAAGGTGAACCTCCCAGCACATTCGTTCGTGGCGGCGGGGGCAGCAGCAGCGGGTCTTCTTCTTGCGGCGGTAGTCAATTAGGCGCTTCGAACTTTCAGGAGTGGTGGGGCATCATTAAATCCCTACAAGAATGTTGGCGTTGAAAGCGCAAAGGGAACTGGATACTATGAGCTTGATCACTACCTAACGTCGAATTTGATACTTACGATTGCTCGTGAACCAAGTCCGCCACTCAATTTCGATGTCTTGGACTGGTGGTCGAGAATGCAAGGTATTTATCCTATTCCTTGCTTGATGGCCAAGGAGATTTTCGCCGTCCCAGCATCTACAGTTGCGGTCGAACAAGCCTTCAGCGAGGGAGGTTATATGCTCGACGCACGACGATCGCAGCTGACGCCCGAAAACCTACAAGCACAAATGCTGCTGATGGATTGGAAAAAAGCCGAACGAAGGATGCAAACAGCTATGTACGTAGATGACGAAGCAGACGACGACGATGACGCATCTGATTTTACGAGTACGACGAGTGGTGGAACCGGAATAGGAGATGACGAGTATGACTATTAGAGACCACCAATCGTGTACAGGTAAGTAAATCGAAAGAACTACGTGGACTTTGATTCCCAATATAAGGGATACGTAGGCAACTTAATTGCCATTTATAAGTTAAAATATCATTTTTTTCCCAAAACAAAAAAAAAAGTTCAAGTTATATGATATTTTAACTTAATAAATGTCAATTAAGCTCAAGTCCATTTTTTTTTTTTTTATATATATCAATTTTAAAATATCTAAACGTAAAAAGAATTAATTTTCCTGTAGAAAACATTGTTCAGAAATTGAGGTAATAATATCAATTAAAATAAGTTAAATTAGATCAATAGAAGGATGTTCTATAATGAAGACAATCGCAGTATCTTAACTTAACTTAACAAGAATTAATTTGCCTCTAGAAAACATTGTTCAGAAATCCAGGCAATAATATCAATTATTCCAATAATGCCCCGTCCACAATCTCCGTTGTTGTATTCTAGACGTATTAGAGAGTGCGACGCAATATCCACAACGGAGATTGTGTGCGTGGCATTATTGGCGTAATTGATGTTATTAGTCAATTTTGGGATTTCTTGAGTTGTAAGTAAATTAACAAAAAGTACTTAGACTTTTTGACACACCACTAATACGTAGGCACCTTAATCCTTCAGTTAAAATATCAATTAAAATAAGTAAATTTGCATCAGTAGAAGGATGTTCTATAACGGAGACAATCGCAGTTGGCGTCGTTTACAGGGTTCTTACATGCTCAACAGTCTTCCAACATAGCAAGAAAGCTGCAGTCTTTTTCACACACCACTAAAAATAATTTGATACAATAATTTGATACAATAATCCAATAGTTTTAGTGTGTGTGGAAAAGACTGTAGCTTTCTTGCTGTGTTGGATGATTGTTGAACATTTAAGAACTCCGTAACCGATGTCAACGGCAATTGTTTCCGTTATAAAACATCTTTCACAAATTTAAACAATAACATCAATTACATCGAGTATGCCACGTCCACATTCTCCCATTGTGGATCCTGCTTCTCACTCTCGCATACGTCTACAATATAGCAGTTAGAGTTCTACGACACAGGCCGACATACAAATTCTTCAATACTTGAAGTTTGTTGAAGTTTGTTTGTGTATACTATCTCTATATTGTTGTATTGTAGGCGTATGAGAGAGTCAGAAACAACATCCACAATGAGAGAATGTGTGCGTGGCATAAACAGTTTAATTGATGTTATTGCTTTCAACTCTAATTGATAAACTTTTTGAAATTCTTAGAACTGAAATCCACAATGAATCACGACCTTAAAAAACGAATGCCTAATATTGAAGGCATAATCCACAAGTAAATTAAAAAAAATTAAGCGTTCTGTTGTTTGTGTTATTGCAGGCGTAATCTAGCATTGAAAGCATAATATGTTGTTGACATTCGGGTTCGCTCATAAGACTGAACCGGACCACGCAATTCCGAGAGCCGAACCAGAGACCCGGTTCGCCCACAAAGTGCC